TGTTGGCACCATCCTTGGCAGCTTTCAAAGCAATGGCCTTGCCGATGCCCCGGCTCGCACCTGTGATGAAGAGAGTGCATCCTGCCAGTTTCCTAAAGGTGAAGGGGGAAGTGGACAGTAAAGAAGAGAAGAATAAAGCAGAAGATGTTAATCATTTGACTTTTATCAGACTCTAAGGGCAAATGTAATTAGCACAGTCTCCCAGCCAGAAAAATGCCTTCATCCTTTTACTCAGAAAACAGCCCGATGAACACAAAAGGGATGGCTACAGCTACAGGGAAGTACTACTGATTTAAGACCACATCCCAAGTTTGCAAACACTATAAAGAAGGTTACCCAGTTACATTTCTCCTTTTTTGTAAAAAGATCCAACACACTGTTTTACAACAGAGCTGCTATGTTCTGCAACAATGGAAAAGGAGTAATTTGTAAAAACAAAATGCCAGTTTCCAACAGGACAACACACCTACACAGATCTCTGAATTATATTAATCACAGTGCTCTAAACACAAAAAAATGATGTCTCAATGCAGCATAAAATACCAAGTCTGGAACCACAGCACCATACGCAAATACCATAAGCTTTATTTTCAGAAATGGCAATTTTTCTCTTAAATCTTCTATACTCAACAGCTTCCCAGTAACTGTGTGTAGTCCTTCCATAAACAGGTCCAATCAACTTAGAGAAACTAACAAGTTTTAAAGCTTAAGAAGGACATCTGGCTAACAGAGTACCACTGAATTTTTGGAAAGAGAAATATCAATTCCACAAACATATTCAATGATAAAGCCTTTCAAACAACAGGTTTGCACACGAATGAATGTGTGTTTCAGTGCTCCACATAAGGGTCATGTTTCTTTATGTAACACTGTAGCAAAACCCAGAGGTTCAGGATTTTAACTTCAGTTGAAGAATTCATATAAACTATGTACAACAGTGACTTCACTTTTTGCTTGCATCACAAAAGTCACATCACAAATGTTACAAAAGCTTACACTATGAGCTTCCATTAGTTTTCCTTTCAGACTGCGTCAAACTTAGTATAGTTTCTCCCCCTCTGGTTTCAGATGTATTTTTTCCCCCCTAATCTGAGCACATCCATCTCTTAAATGCTCTCTAGGAGGATGTTTGCTTTCAAAAGGCAGAAAACTGGAATGGGGCAGAAAGGGGGAGATGCCTCTTCCCCTGAAGAGGCAAGACAAGGCACCTACGGAATCTCAAAAAGTCAACCATGTCCAGAAGATGCCATTTCAAACAACTTCTATCTGCAAAATCTTAAAGAGTCTTAGAAAGGCACAGGAAGAAAAATATCTAAACAGAAGAGTGAACCACAAAAGACTACTGATGTGAATTCAGTCACACACACAGTGAGGAGAGTTCAACTGTGGAATACAGTCAAAGTGTAAAAGTCAGTGAAGTAACGCCAGATTCTAGTTTCTACCTTCAACCAACCGGTATGAAGTCAGCACAATTCACCTTAATCATGGAAGAGGTAAATGGGGTCCAGCAGGAGGCAGGTCTGGAGGAGAAAAGAGCAGAGAAAAGCTGATGGGGCTTTAAGCCTGCCTGGGGCTGGAGTGATCTACTCAGGAAGACAAGAAGGTGTATCAGGAGACTAGCAGGGCTATGCAGGGAACTTGTGACTTAGCTCCCAAGAATAGTGTCACACAGGGAGCGGGTGCAACGACAGGCCACAAAGAAGCAATCAGAAACATTACCAGGGCACACTGGGGTGGTGTCCGGAAAATCAAAGTTCACCTGCACCAGAAGCTTGCAAAGGGCATCAAAAGCTCAGAGACTTCTGTTACACTGGTAGGAAAAGCAGGCCCTTTGCTTAAGGGAATGGGTGAATGCAAGTCTTTCAACACTGTCATAATACTTTTGCTTCATATTTAAGACATGATGCTATGACCTGGATGTGTGTGCAACCTGACAGGTAAAAAACTAGTTGGTTGGTCAGGGTCAGAGGATGGTGGTTAGGTTAGTCATATTCGCAAGACTAAGTATTTATTTCTTAATTCACTTAGCAGCCCAGTAGTTTAAAGTTCATAAAGCATATCTGCCTAGCTAAAATTTCTTATGACCTGTATTATGAAGGTCACACCTGCATCACTTCCATTAGAGTTGAATTCTGCTATTAAGACAGAAAACATCAAATCCACATCTGTGCCCTACAATCTTGAAAAACAAGATTGGTTCCTTTCCCACCACAGATGACTGCCAATAAAGACTTTCAGGTCACATTAGAAACACTCCTTATGGCTTACACGGATGTTAGGAATTTAATAATCCTCTTTATATCACACAGGAACAAATAACTTATCTTCCCACCTGTTATCTGAAAAGTCAAAAGGCAGAAAACACCTCTAAATTAAGACCCTATACAGGAAAAAAATCTGGCTGCCAGGTAAGACAGTAGTAGAAGACTATAATACTATACAACAATAACAACACTGATAACAAAAATAGCAACAACAACAATAGTAGTAGTAATAAGTAATTATACTTTAATTAAAATGTTCCGTAAGAAATTCCTGATACACTGCCCAATTTACATTAAACTCCTCCAGTAACTGTTTCCCTTGCAAAAGGCACCGTTCAAGTCCCCGATACGACCCGAACTGCTCGTCCCAGGGCTGCGGTGCTGCCCGGGGCCCCTCGGCCGGCCTGCCCCGCAGGACGGCCGGGATACGCGTGTCCCCTGCTACACCTCCTCGCCCTTGACCGGCTGCGAGTCCCGCACGCCCCGCAGGGCGACAGCGCTCAGGGGTGTCCAGCGAGCCCCCGCCGGCCGCCGCCCGCCCCCCCGATGGCCCCCGGCGGCGGCGCAGCCCCTCCCGGCGCGGCGGGGACACCTTACCCGGTGTTGGGCAGCATGGCGGCGCAGGGCGGCCGGGCCGGGGCAGCGACGGGACCACTCCGCTGCGCAGCCGTTGCGGCCGCTCGGGGCGGGGCCCGGGCCGCTCTCCCCCGGGGCTGTGGGCACAGCGAGGGTGACGGGCTCGGGGATGCGAGTTAACCTGAGACCGAAGAAAGGCCTACGCGGCACGAAGGGTGGAACTGGAAGGCTTTCCCTATCCTTTCGTTCTCCACCGTGTGTGTGAAATTTTGCTTTGGTCTCCTGCCAGCTTCACTCAAATCACTGGAGCTTTGCCTCCATCTCATCTTCTGGAGTGCTGTGTCCAGGTCGGGGTTCCTCAGGACAAGAGAGGCAGGGAGCTTGCTGGAGTCAGTCAAGTGGAGGAGCACAAAGGTGATCTGGGGCCTGGAGCACTTCTCTTCTGAGGACAGGCTGCTGGAGCTGGGCCTGTGCAGTCCAGAGATGCCCGAGAGGGGATCTCCTTAATGCATATGAATATCTCTAAGTGGATGGCAAGTTTGTGGTGCCAGACTCTTTTCATTGGAGCCCAGAGACAGAATGAGGAGCAGTGGCCATAAACTAAACCACAAGAATTCCATTTAAACGTGACAAAGAGCTTTGTGTTGAGGGTGGCAGAACACTGGAACAGGCTGCCCATGGAGGCTGTGTCATCTGCTCTAGATCACCGTGCCTTGACAGCGTGGTTGGAATAGAAAATCTTCAAAGGTCCCTTGCAACACTAATGATTCTGTGACTCCCTGTTTATTAGAAAGCCTGCAGTAGGATCCTGTGTCTTTTTTCTCCCAGCCACACCTATCCTATCCTTCATCCTCTCCCCTAGTACCTCTCTTATTTTCACAATAACTTTGAGGTCAGCCCTTGCCTCCGTGCCATGCACATGTAACTTTTCCTCATCCTCCCTCTGCTGCCCAGTGAAGACTTTGACTTCCTCCTGTCCTTGCCATGCTGACTACCTGTTACTGTGGTTAGCAAATCTTCCACCAGGTTCCACCTTTGGCTTGTCTTTCCCCCTTCAACTGTCACAGAGATTCTGTGCAGCAACCCTGAGAGGGCTTCAGGATTCACCGAGATCTGATGGCAGAAGGGAAAATCAGCTGGTAGGTCTGAACGTGCTGAAAGACTTGAAACAGATGGTTTTACTGACTTCAACAGAAGTCAAAGTGAGCCGTGAGCAGATGAACTAGTCTGTGTATTAATATAATGATGGTTGTTGGTTCCTTTCACTGCAGTTCAGTGTTGCAGGGCTGCAGACTCCTGCGTGACTGAGCGGGCTAAAGGGGCCAAGGGCTGCTGCCCCGCTGGGCCCGCGCTCCGCCCGCGCCTCCCTCCGCCGGCTGCGCCTCCCGCCAACCCGGCCCGCCGAGTGGGCTGCAAGCCGCGCAGGGCAGCAGGAAAGGCGGCCGTGCGGAGGGAGTGGCGAGCAAGGTGCTGGTGAGCACTGTCAGCTGGGCCCTGACTGTCCTGGCGACTGTCCGGGCCTGAAAGCTCATCTCAGCGAGATGAGCTTTCAGGCCCGCAATCGGCTCTGAAAACGCCGTCATGTCTGCAGAAATGTTTTGGGGTTTTTTTTAGAAAAGGGTTGTTTTGCTTTTTCAGAATTGTTTTATGTCAAGTTGAAGGGCAACTAAGAATGCTGAACTGCTTTTATAGGAGTGTCAGAATAGGGATAAGGCCAGGGCAGAGGAGGCAAACTTGGAAGTGTTCCTTTCTGGTGAAAGTACTCCTTGAGCAGTCACACTAGGACCGTTGTGCCAGGGACGGTGTTAGTTCCTTGGGCTCCCAGTGCGGGTTATTTTGTAGGGATTCACAGAACAGATGTAAGTAATTTTGATACTGAAGACACCTAAGAGACTTTCAACAGCATTTTAAGGGGCTATTCCACTTGATTGGCTTTGTAAATTGCAAAAGCTTTCCTTTATTGCAAAAGCTTTCCTTTATTGGAAAAGCTTTTCTGTACTGTTAAATGTGCATGATCACTGTGGTAAAGTAAAATGGTGATCAAGTTGATGTGTTTAAACAGAATTCTCTGTATTTTAAGTAGAATTCTGTATATCTTTAAGCTCTGAGTCTTGAAGCAGAATTCGCTGTCCCTGACCCTGCCTTTGATCTCTGATCCAAATGGAAGTTGATGGTATCATTCTCTCCTTTAACCCCTCTTTTAAATGTAAAAAGATGCTATCAGGTGGGTTAAACAGATGTTGCTCAATGTTTATGGAAAGCTTTTGTATTTTATGACCTGCCTGGCAATTGTCAGAGAAGATGACATCTTCTTTGACACTCAATCTGAAGTTCTGTACGTCCTGAACTGAACTTTGCTTGAAACTGAGTAGAGGACATCTCCCCAAATGACCAGCAGGGACCACTAGAGATCCCCGAAGAGACAGTGACACATACTGCATAAGGTTGCACAAGTTCAACGATTATGCAGTAGGCAGGGGTAACTATGTATTAGATAGGCAGGTTTATGTAGATTTCAGTGTGTGAATTATCTCACATTTTAATGCTTGGTCGCCTTGATTTGTGGAAAATCTCTGCTTTGCATCTCGGGCAGAATAAACAGTGTCTCCTTCCTAAACACTTTGTCCGTGTTTAGAGAGTTCTGAAAGTTGGCAACAAAAGCAGTAAATTGATTTAAAGTTTAGAAGCCTTTGCAGAAGAATTAATTTATTGGAGGTGCTGCCCTCACATTCAAAGAGGAGAAGAAATTAAGCAGATCCCAGCAGGAAGGAGCAGATGCAGCCAAGGCTAAGACAGACTCTGCTGCAGCCCCACCATCGGGTCCTGTTGCAGAGACGTTCCGAGTTATTCAGGGGGCAGTGACTGAAGAGTACGTGAGAAGCACTCAGGGTGTCTTTCAGTTTGAGCTCTCTGGTAAGCCCATGGCTTGTGCGGCCTTGCCTGGCAAAAGGCTCTGGGTGTTTTCAGACACAAACACTTTGGAGGCTGGTCCCGAAGCAGACCAGCTCCTCTTCGTTGTGTGTGACGCTCCTGCCCCGTGCCCACTCGAGCAGGCCCCAGGAGCTGCTGTCCCTCGTGCCGCGCGCGGAGCCTCTGTCCCGGCGCCGCCGCCTCGCGCGGGGCTGCTGTGGCCACGGACAGGGCGCTCTCGGGGCCGTGGCAGAAGCGCCGGCTGCCACCAGCTCCGTGAGCAAAGCGCGGCCTCTGGGCTCTCCTGCCCGTGGCCCCAGCCCGTGGTGCTCGGGGCGTCACGGGGGACAAGAGGTGACTCCTTGCAGAGCCCCTGCCAGCGTGCGGCTGCCGCGGAACCGCTGCAAAGGCGCACGGCCGCGGCCGTCTGGCGGGGACGAGAGAGAGGGAGGGCACAGCAGTCCTTGCTGCCTTCTCACCTCGCTTCACTCTCTGTCCAGGCGATGGTGGAGGCACTTGGTATATTGACCTGAAGACCAAGGGTGGGAACGCTGGCTTCGGAAAGCCTCCTGTGACAGCTGATGTGGTTATGAGCATGTCGAGCGCCGACTTTGTGAAGATGTTCACAGGTGAGGGACAAAGGCCTTTGTCAAGGGACGCGGGTACCGGGAAAGCCAGAAGAGCTGTCCCAGAAAAGCCTCTGCTGACAGGGGAGTAGAGTGGCTTCTGGCTTTGTGATCTGGGATTGGAGGAGCTTTTGGCTTTTTGTGGCTCAGGGGAGAGTGCAGGCAAGAACTGCTTGGATTTTTCCGCACTCCTGCGTCCTGCGAACAGGAAGAGTGCAAAAGGTTACACTGCTTTAATAGCCTGGTACCGACATTTTAGCAGCCAGTGTATCTTCAGAAGGAATCCAGTCAATGTGTTGGACTTGTGCTCTGTGCAGGTCTGAGCAGCATCTCCTAAATGTGCACTGCTTGTACCAGGAGGACATGGTAGGAAAATAACCTGATTTGTTTCATCTCCCCTGAGAGATTGGAGCCATATGGTCTTTTCTTAGGTAAATCAATCATAATCTAATAATTTCATTAAGTAACAGGATACAACATCTGATGTAATTTTCTACTCTTACAGAGTGTTTTCTCATTCCAGAAAATGTATTTACTGATTAAGCAGTAGTGGACAGGAGGCAATGTCAGAACTTTCATAATGTTAAATTGCTACTCTTCATTCTAAGTGTGATTTCCACAAGCATCACTATTCAAAACAGCTCCAAACCTTTTCTAACACACTTCAAAATGGAGTCAGAAGAGAACAGATTAATAATGCAAAAAAAAAGTTATCCATTAAGTTAATCATTGTAATCAAGTCCTCAGAAATGTTTTTTACAGATGGACTGGAAAAGTAAATTATATTTCAATTAATCTGCCTCCTCCTTTATAGCAAAGTGCTTCAATATTGTCAAATATAGATGGACACAGATATATGGAAATTCTTTGTTAGATTCAGATAATGGAAATGTATGAGATTTAATCACAGATTCCAATTTAGCATTGTTCACGTGGATACAACTCTGAAGTATATTCCAAAACAGAATTTCTAAAGCACTCAAAAATCTTACTCTAGAGATATTACTCTTTCCTATGCACAATCTAGATAATTTTAATTTTCTGATGATTCTGTTTCTTCATTTTAGATAAGCTAAAGCTATTCATGGCTTTCATGCCAGAAAATTCTAGTATTAAAGGTGATATGATGAGTCTGGAAAAGATGCTGCTATAGTTAAATTTTGAACACTAGCAGAATACTGGTCTTTCTTATGTAACTACAATGCTATTTGAAAACACCAGTCCTCATTTTTTGCTGCTGCAGTATAAGATCAATAGATTTTGTAATTGCTACAGAAATCACAACTCAGGGTGATTATAATACCCAACAGCAAATATGGCTTTTTAAAATAACTTCCTGTAAAGCTTAAAAAAAATTATGTCCCAAAATTCTGGTGTTTCAAGAACAGCTTTTTTAATTTTCACTTTCTTTTTTTTTTCTGACTGCAATCTGTCCTGTGTCACTGTGAGATGCAAACCCAAGAGAACTTTATTTCTTATCATGTTTTCTCATCTTTAAATTACCTGATGTCTGAGGAAATACGAGTTCTTATCCCATGATTAGGGGATGCATAGCATGTTTCCAGTGTACTGTAAGAGGTGAAGTCAGCACTAACTTGTTTTTCTGTCCTGTACTGGTTTCACAAAGCTTGCATGAATTGACCATCCCTATCACATGTTATTTTAAAAGGCTGACAATCTTGAACTACTGAAAAAGTCCGCTGTGCACTGTTAGGACAAGACCTACAACGGATGCTATAGTAGAGGAATTGTTGCAGATATTTGCTTTCTGCAAAGGATTTTTACATGAGGTCAAAAGTGTGTTTGTTTTTATTCTATTGCTTACTTCACAGATTTTGAGGCACATAAAAATGAAGTGACTAAAAAACCTGACTGTTTTGCTGCTGTGAATAACTGGAGAGAAAGGTACGGGGGTTTTGGGTGGTGATGAATGAAGAGAACGGCTCCAAGATGTGCATAAGAGAGACGCGATCTGCAGGCCGCTGACATTCGTGAGCAGGACAGATGGCTCGTCGTACTGCGAAGGAAATGGCAGTCTTCCTTTCCGCCGGTTCAGCAGCTGCAGGTCCTGGCCGGAGCCTGGAGCCGGCGATGCCAGCAGAGGGAGCAGGCAGCAGGCCGCAGCGGCGCTGCCAAGCCTGCCCTGCTGCCCGGCCTGCGGCATGCTTGCTTAGGGGCTAGACTCGCCAAAGTGCTCCAAGACCCTTTTCTGCTTAAAGCACGGGGCAAATATGGGATAGGGTGAGATAAGCGGATTTGCAGCAATTAAAAATCTGTCTGTGCCTTGCAGCCTCTTACCTCCCTTCCCTCATTCCTGGTCTAAAGTCCCTGCTCCAGAGCAGGAATGAGGTAGGGTGTGTACTTCTACATGACAGAGCAACAGGACTTGTCATATTTATTTAAACCACTGAAATTATCAGTGAGAGTAATATTTTGGAGAGAGACTTAGTTTGGAAGAGTGTTAGCCTGAATGCTTAAAATTTGACAAAAATCAAATCCAATGAATCTTTATATAATGTCCATATAATGTCCATGTAATCCATATAGTCTATATAATGGTGTCTTGCTTAATCTTAGTTCTATGCATCATTCTGTCCTAGAATAACATGGTGCTTTGTGTAGCAAAGTTAAGCTCTAATTAACTAAATATAACTAGCTCAAGCAATAATACTTAGAGTCAGTATCTTTTACTAGGGTGGCCTGTACCTCTGCTTCCCACCATTTCTACTAGGGGCTGAAAATAAGACTTTGCCAGCTGTCTGAGGACAGAATAATCACACCTCTTGAGACAGGTTTACCTGTGCAGAATTTTATCAGTGGGGTCCACACTTCAGCTTGAAGTTACTGTAGGGGAAAAAGAATGGAAAGAAAAGGAAGTGCCTGACAAGTATCCAGCCAAGTAATGAAGCAATGTGGCACCCAGAAGAGTGTCCTTTCCAGAGTCAGCAAGCAGTGAAGATGAGGAAGGTGACTATAATTATTGTTGTCAGGCTTTCTCCTCTGTCAATTCTGCCCTTGGCATTAGGAGCTAGCCCAGCTACCTCTTGGTTGTTCCTGTATATGATGCTGTCAGTGCTGACAGGATTACATTTAAGCAGTCACAGTGGTTTGTGTCAGTCACTCCACTTTGTGCATATTTATGGTTGGTAATGCTTACGGGTCTTTTACATTATTATTATCTACCTTTCCATTTTCTAACTCTTGCATGTCCCCTTAATACAAACTAAAGTTAAAACAGATAGGAAACACAAGGGGAAGAAAGATGAGATTCTCAGACTATGAATAATTGCTGTCTATGAGAATCTACTGAGATTTGCAAGTGGAAGGCCAAGGCAACAGCATAGGAAGGAGAAGGGAGAAAGACTGATACAGCAGCTTGGGTCGAAGGCTGCAGGGCTGCAAGTGATAGCTGAGCCCTGAACGGGCACAGAAGGCACTTGGCATTGCAAAGGTGACACCACTTGTGCATGTCTGTGTGCAGCAGTTTACATGTCTGCCATTTGCTACTCAGTGCTAAAAGACAGCAATGAAATTGTGAACACAAGGTTGGACTGGGAAGCCTGCACATTAGAACTTAACAATCAAGGAGGCAGAAAAATGTGCACACTCTTTTGACATGGCACAGTTAAACTCACGCTTCATGGTTACCTCACAAGAAAGTGAAGCAAGAAAGGAAAAGCGGGTTCTATCAAATTTCTTAAATGTGAGAAGTAATTTTGAGCTTGTTTACTTGTTCTCACTTTCTCCCACTCATAGGAGCCACATGTCATGAGCAACAACTCTAAAAGCAGACCTTTTCATCAGTGGTTAAAGTTCTAGTAGAGTGGGGGGATAAGTACAATACTTCAATCATGATCTTTGTCACAACTTTGATTGTGAGTTTGTGCGAGATGTAGTATTGGGTGAACAAATAACACAAAATCAGTGTGATGGATTTTTTTCACCAAGAAACAAGTTTCACATTATTCATAGTATTTTCTCCAGAAGGATGTTGTCAGCTATTTCTTTATACATATATTTATACATACCTTACTATTTCTACTAAACAACTGAATGTGATAGATGGGAATTTTGAGATCCAGACTTTACTGTAAAAGCAGTGTCTAGGTCACATCTATTCACTGAAACAGGTGTGTCAAACTTTTAAATTTACCAGGCCAAAAAGGGAGGGAAGAAAATAATACCTTGTCTCAACCCAAGAAACCTTGGGAGGAAACAGTGGCTCAGTTGGTTATTTTTTTTTTCCAGAGGAATAAATGCTTCAGTGACAGTCAGATATCTTAAATAAATAATGCCCCATATTCACATTTACAAACTTCTCTGCTGTTATTCTCTTTGAAGAAAAGGAGAGCCTCCCAAAGACACAACATATGAGACTTTGTTGTCAGCCTGCTACAGGTGGGCAACTGCATGAAAGGCTGGAAATAACCCCAGGATTTCTGTGGTAAAACCACGTCTCAGCTCCCGCATTATTCGAGTTCTGTCATTGCAAAGATTTCCACACCTTCCATCTTATTGTGTTTGCACTGTGAGCTCCTTTAGGCACCCTGTAAAATAGGAGTTCTGCCTTCACAGCCCAGCGTTGAGGGGACCAGAAATGGATGCACTGCGGGTCTGCTGCAGCCTTTATATCCCATTTGCAGAGAGCCACCCCCTTTTGTGAGCCCAGGAACTCACAGCTAGCAGTGTGGGTGGGTGAAGAGCATGATCCAGTAATGTTTTAAATCCACTCTCTCTGTTTTAAAGGTAAATATTAGGTAATCCTTGAAGCCACAGGCTGGAGACCATGCATCATGGTTTCTTAGACAGAAAAAGCCCAATGTGCTTATCCTATATAAAGAAATTACACACTGTATGTTCAGACAAATGTCCCTGATATAACTAGCACACATTTGTAGTGCTAAGTCTCCTGCTTGCTTTCAAGTGGCTTTCTGGTTGAGCTGTTATTGCACACTTTTTCCATACTAATTATCCAGGCTTTTGTTTAAATTGCTCTTCTTTACCTGTGTATTTCATCCAAGAGCTGACATTCACCTGCTGTTGCCACAGATATGTCCTATTCCACCAAAACCCACAGGAATTTAATACAAAACAGAGTTATATGGTCACAACTCTGAATACACAGACTGGATTCTCAAGGGTGTTTCAAGCCTCTCATGAAACAGTACAGAATTTCCAAAGGCACCTTGTGGACTGATCTTCATATACTTTTTCTGTGTTAACATTAATTGTTAATTGCAGCCTAGTAACAACACTAACAAAGGAATGACCAGCAGAAAGTTAGTTCTGCTCTGATATGCTTGGGTGTAAATGTCAAGTATCCTTGTGAAGTCTGCACTGCTTTCTTCAGCATCATGCGCATGTGAAGGAAAGGTGGCTGCCTAACATGACAATCTGAGGTTCTCAGTGAAAAAAAACTAACAGGTTTTCTTCTGTCAGTTTGTTAGCTGCCCCAGACAGGGTATGAAAAATTTAGAAGTGACCTAAAAGCTGTGTGTTTTTACTGGGCATTACTATGTCTCTAAGCTGTTATCTGCTTTGCATTTAATCAATCACGCTCTAACTCACTTTGATTGTAGCCCTGACCTGAAGTAAGGCACTTTGTTGTGCTGGTCTTTTTTTTTTTTTTTTTAGAGTTGATGAATAACTGCAGTCATAACAAATCCAGTGATTGTGAGTTGTGTGGTCCTTAGTACTGGTACTTACTCCCCCACGTTCCTTCAGGATCTCCAAAGGAAAATGAGCATGCCCTCATATGTGCTATAGGCTGGGTGTTGAACCTCCAAAGAGAGTTTGAGAAGCGTAGGAATTTTCTGGTAATCAGTGATTGCTGGAAAAAGACAAAACCTTTACAGTGCACTGTGATAGTTGAATCCCTAGTCCTCAAGTTGTCTCACACAACCTTCTACTTCAGAAACAAGCTCAGGACACTCCTTGGTGTGTCACCCCTTTAAATTCAGCCTGGTGTTACCTACGTGACCAGAAAAATGCCTGCTCCTGCACCTTTGTAAGTCTGCCCTGCCCTGGTCAGGCAGAGTAGTATTTGCAACATGTATCCTAGCAATCCAGTAGAGGGATTGCCAGCAATCCAGGTGGCTGGAGCAGAAGACCACTCTCCTCAAGCTTTCCTGTTTGAATCAGATTCCTTGAGGGCTTGTGTCCTCTTAGTGTTCCAAAATGAAGAATGCCTTCCTCTCTTGTGGATCTTTGTAGAGCCCTTGTTTCTGACCTATGGAGCAGGGATGTCAGGTCAGTGTTAAAAGCAGGATTACAAGTGTTGAAATACTGCTGAGCAGGGTGCAACTACATGCTGTGGTGGATGACCAACAGAGCTGAAGGACCATGGTTTACTAAAAGTGAGTTTGTTCTGAAATCTTCTCCAAAAGTGATGAAATCATGGGCATCATGATTAGGGTATCATGTAGTGCCCCCACAAGTAATTTTTGGATGGCAGATAAGTGAAGGGCAAATTAACCAGCAGTGCTTTTCTTTGAAATATTGTGTGTATTTAATTACAAATGTTCCAGGAATGCAGATATGATACTTCACAGATTCTGCTTTAAAAACCTTTCCTTCCCTAAAGAGAAGCTGTGGCATTTGAGGAAGTAGTTGCCTGCTTGATCTTCCTCTTTAGGGACCACTCTTAGAAAATGGATCATGTTTTGATACTGCTTTGCCTTGCCTTAGTAAATGAATTTGCTTTTCAAACATTACAGTTCCAGTGTTTTGTACAGGAAACCTAAAAACCCCAAAAACAACAATCCCACAGACAAGCAACTTATTCACTTCCATATTTATTTGCAATTTCCAAGGAACTTCCCAATAGCAGCATACCAGTTTAGTGCCAGAAAGCTGGTGTCTGAAGAGGTGCTTGATGGCTTTCATTCTGACCCTGCCTACACCAGTGCAGCTCTGCTACATTGCTAGTGAAAACACAGGGCTACAAAGCCCTTTGCACAGTCATGAGAGAAGGATTCCTTATTACTAACCACCAGTGTCTCAGGTGTGTGTTGTAATACCCCAACTCCACTCGTCACACCAGTTGTCTGCAAGTCAGACCATTTGTCTTCCTGCAGTCATGGAGGAAACTGCCACCCCCTTCTGTCATTGACCTTGAGTCCTCACAGCTGGGTGTTTGTAAGCTGCACTGCCCCACAGACCCACCTGTTGCTCTGCCCTTCAAGAGCACCGATGTCCCACGAGGGAACCAGCCCGTTAACACTGACTTGCAGACACCTGTTTCTCACCAAGCCCTTTCACCCGGAGAAGTGTGTCAGTCAGGTGGGTCT